CTAGTGCAGACTAGCTGGATAGTTTCCATAGTCTTGCTGTCAATCATTTTTTGCCTGACTGTGGAGTGTAACCTGTACTTTCAAGCCACATGTGTTTTGGGGATTTAAGACTGTGAGTGGAAATGCAGGGATGGGGCAGCCAAAAGTCCTTGGGTTACTTTAGATGGGGAAGTAAGCGTGAGGCATGCCAGAAGAATTGAAGGATTGGTTAAAGCAATTCTTAAATTTCCCCAGAAATTCTGATTTGCTTGGGAGGTACATTTTTAGAAGACCCAATTTGAATAGGTAGATAAATTGGGATTAACTATTTAAGTTTTTATTAAGTAGAGGAATGCAGTTTTAATGGAATGTCTCTAATTCTAGAAACCGGAATGTGAGGCATATCTCCTTACTCTTCTCAAGGTGCATTCCTCAGAATGTAGGCGAATCACTATGCATCTCCATTTTTTTTTTCCTGATATACGATAAAGGAAAAAAAAATAACTGTTCTAAGCAATGATGTAAATGAGATGTGATCATGGTGGGTGGAGGGTTGGGCAACACTTTCCCACTTTTAGGGCTAGGTTAGTTGACAGCTCTAAAATCTATTTTCTCAAAAGGTGAAGAGACTTACCAAGCCTAACTTGGGTATGCGGTCTCAACAGAGATAAAACATTAGCAGCCTGTACTAGGGTCAAGAGGGGTCTCCGCCAATTAGATTTGCACACTTTAACTTCCTACATCAGGAGGGCTCAGGAGAGCAGGAAACCAGGCTCAGTAAAATAGATTCCACCTGAATCATTAAATTTTATCACCCTGCTTTACCTGAAATTTGCAACTTAATTTTAACTCCAAGTTTATCGTAGAATGAAACTGGAAAATAGAATACCTGGAGAGTGAAATATTCTTAAGTCTGAGTATACAGAAGTTGATTGACTAGGTCATTTTCTTTTGAGAATAAAAAATATGAAAACCTGACTGGCTTTGTTTATCCAAATTGCTGCAATGCACAAGTCTTAAGAATTCAGCAGTCTCCTTGAGTCAAGCTTCTTTCTCAAACAGAAAGAGACCTCTTGGACATACTCAGAAAAACACAAAGACGAGTAGTGTTTGAGCTCAAATGCTCAGACTTTACCTTGTGACAAAAAGCTTACTGAACCATTGGGTGGTGAAAATAAACCAAGTGTGTGTGTTTCAGAATTTGTAAATTGTTCCCACAAAGGGAGAAATTATTTTTTCTCTCCATATACCACCCCATTTGCAGTTAATTTCATAAAAGCAGCACTTCTAGAAAACATCCCCAGGTGCCTTTGTTAGAGTCAGAGCTCTTTGCTTCGTGGACCCTGGGGCTGGCAGAAGGAGCAGCTTATGTTTTCCTGTGAATAAATGAAGACCATCTAAACATATTACCATGATTTACAGTTGCAGTGCTTGAGTGATACTTCAAGACCAAGCTGTATCACATGCATGTGTGTGTGTGGTGTGTGTGTGGTGTTCTTCTCATGTCACATCCTTAGATAGGCCTCAGACTTCAGGTTGGTAACCTTGTATCTATCCAGGCTGCTTTGTCATAAATACCATAGTGGGTGACTTAAAACTAGGAACTTGGAAGCTGGGAAGTCTAAGGTCACTACAGATTTAGTGTCTTAGAGGGCCTGCTTCCTGGTTTGTAGCGGGCAGAAAATGATCGAGAGTTCTCTGGAGTCTCTTTTTCTAAGGGCACCATCCCTTAAGGGCCTCCACCCTTAGGACCTAAACACTCTCCAAGGCCCACCACCTAATGTTGTCACATTGGGGGTTAGGATTTTTGTTAGTAAATTTTCGAGGGCTATTGAGGCCATACACCAGGTTCTCCATTTTGTCTCCAATCTCCTGGTAACTATGACAGTTGTGAAAAGCAGTATTTTATGTAATGACTATAGTGTGGAACATATTTGGAAACAGATGCTCAGCAACAATACATTTCTGGTGAAATTGTTTCCATCAACTCATAAAACAAATCTCTGGAGTTCTCAGCATTAATGGGACATTATTGAAAAAAATTAGTTTTTAATTTCTAGAGCTGTCTGCCACTCACCATTTCTAACTCATTTTCCAGAATATATATATATATTATATATATAAACAAATATATATATGTGTGTGTGTATATATGTATATATATATATATATATATAAACACTAGAGGATTTCCTCAGTCAAGGATCTTGAAACTTACTAATATTGTACTTCAATAAAACTATAAAAAATACTTATTTAGCACTCATTAATTCCTGTCAAAGTTGTGCTAAACCGGCTTCAAAGGATGATGGCCTGTGCATCAAAGAAGGAAAAGGTCACCCTCTGACTTGTAATTGAATGATATTTAATAGCTACTAAGCAATACTTTTGTGTCATACACTGGACTGAAACTTCTCAATATGTGCCACTTATGCCTTACAACAATCCTGTGAGGTGGGTCTTATAATTCTCACTTTACAGATAAGGCAGCTAAGGCACATGGCTTGCTCAGCCAGTAAGTGGCAGAATTAGCACTTGCATTTGAGTCTGTCTGGCTTCTCACAACACTGGACTTCAGTGCCTCAGCAGCTCATGGAGAACTGACTTCCTGTACCTTTTTTGTTTCTTGGCCTGTCTTTTAATTTCTTTCTCTCTCTTTATTTTTTTTCCTATGATAATGATTCATTTGCAAGCATAGGAAACATTTAGTATGGTCAATACTAACTGACCTATTACCTCCTCAAAAAAAAAAAAAAAAAACTCTAAAAAAAAAAATGACTAGAAAGTGCCTTAACTAAGTCAACTACTGGGAACTGGATGCTCGTGAAGCTTCTTGCAGTCTTTCTATAACTTGAAAACTACTCCTAAGCGCTTGGGTTCCAAACTGCACATACATTGCAGCTGGCTATTGGCATGTTAGGAAGATTTTCTTTCCTGGTGTGAGATTATGAACAACTCAGTAATCTTGAACACTTCTAGGAAGGAGATGGGATCATTTTACTTTTTCCATTCTGCACCTTTTCTTTTTGCCTATTCATCATGTTTTAAATAAACAGGCTTAAGAAAGTTGTTATTAAAGCCCTCCTCAGGCTTCTTCAATTTCAGTTTTAAACCAGGTTCAAAATATTCTGGCAAAAATTAAAGGCAACATTGAAAACGTTTGCATAAATTTTAAATTGTGCAAAAAGTGATAAAACTGAAATGAGCTGAAAAAATGACTAATAAGCATCTTCTTTTATATCTTTGTCTTTTTATCATAATCAGTGATTATTTTGTTCTTAAAAAATTGACTCTGAAGAGCACTTCTCTTCCAGAGTACCTGCATTACACTTCCTACTCTAAATTTAATTTGTTAGTTAAACATTTACTTTTAAAAGTGTGGAGACTTATTTCTATGCTAATAAATAATATATAATGTCTGTTAACAATATTTCTGTATTTTCTCATAAAGTGAAACACAGGCAAATATTACTATGGAATAATCCAAGCCTCTACCACATTCTGTTTGTCATTGAAATCCCTAGTTCTCATATCACTGTTAGAAAAGAACTAAAAAAAAATTGTCACAAATGAAACCTGCGATCTGGGGGAAGAGGTCATTTATGAGCTCAGTGATGAATATAACTTCTGTAGCCAGATATAAAAGATTTGGGAGAAGAGAACAATAGAGATGCCATTTAATTGCACAGCATCACAGCTAATTAAATTGAGATCTCTGCTTTCTTTTCTCCTTTCTTCTTATATTTCCCCATTGGTATTGACTGTGTGTTTCAGCTGGCCTAATGTCAGAGTTGCAACTTACTTAAGAAAGGCATATGGCAAAACTATAACTTTTTATTATGTAGTGAAACAAATATAAAATGCATACAAATAATGGTTTTATTTGAACATTAAATTTTATTATGTTTTGTTACACTGTCACCTGACATCTGTTAAAAATAAGGTTCTGGGATGCTGTTCTGGCATGTGTAATTTTGAGAAAGAGACTCCAAAACTTTTCCAGTGTATTCCTTAACCTCTACCAGACACACAAAATATATTGTCCATTTGTTCATAAAGCTTCCTTCTTGATAACCATTACCCAATGTTCAGCAGTGTTTACTTCAATAAATAAGAATGAAAGGATAAATGGAGGAATTAATTAAGTAAATGCGTGGAAGGGAAGGCTATGTCCCAACAAAACTTTATGGAAACACATTTTTATTTCATGTAATTTCCACATCATGAAATATGATAGTTAATTTGATTTTTTTCCCCAGTCAAATGAAAATGTAAAAGCATTCTTATTTTTAGGCCATAGCCCTATAAAAACAGGCAGTGGAATGGATTTGACCAATTGTCCTACTTAGCTGTACCCTATCTTAGAATGAACTACTTTAGAGGTTAGAATGAACTACTTCAAAGGTTATTTACCTCAAGAATATTTGCCTTTTAAGCAATGAACTCTAATGGGTGGGAGTCAAAGAATATTGTTTTTTAATTCTTCCTCAAAGAATAAATTGGTACTGTTGACAGACTGTTAAATAATTTTCCAAGTGGAAGGAAAGTATAATACATCAGTAATTGGCCTCCATTATTTACAGGTAAGGTGGTTACTGTTAAAAGTAGCTTTCATTGCTGACTAAAATTGTCCACATAGTAACAAGCATTCATCTTATATTTTCCTTCATTTTTTGGACTTTGATATTTAGATCAGTTACTGCCAGGGATGATTTTGAAAGCAGAAAATTAAGGATATCTTGAAAAAAATTATCAATTGTTTTTAATCTTGAAGGGTAAAATGTTTTAAATTTTATTAAAGATGTTCCTAAAATTTGTGGCTGTACCTCAGGTAAGGAATTATTTTGGCAAACATCTTGAAAGTACAATGTGATATTTACTCTAAATTCAGAAATTTAAAAATTTTTAAAAATAATTAGCCTGTGAGTGTTATTTTTATAGTCATTACTATTTATAGCATTTTCAATGAAGACAAGAGAACATTCCAACTCTTTTTCTTTACTCACATCTCTCTTAAACAGCCACAACTACGGTTTAAAATTCCACCTGGGGAAGATGCTAGTCAGACTGCAATGAGAAATCAGAATGACGCTCAATTTGAAGAAAAAGCAGTTAAGTATTTTATAGGTAGGAATGTTTAGGATATTTGGAATTCAACAGGCAAAAGTCTTTTGCTTTATTTTAGGATACAGGGTAAATTCAGCCTTCAGGTATGCTTTGCAGAAGTACATCTAAATTGTTGGGGTTTTTTTTTGCCTGTTTCTTAGTTACTAAGCATAGTGAACCTTTGATTATCAGAGTATAGATAACCTAAGGTTAGTTATAAATTCTCTAATCACCTTTCCCTTCCTACTGTGCTTATATATTAGCATTCCTATATCCATTAGGAAATGGATATTAATAATAGTTTGATTTCAGTCAAACTGAATTGGGAAGCAAGAAAAACGGTGTTAGCCAAATATATTGTTTTGAAACCATCTTCTTAGATCTTGATGATTATTCTCAGTAGCCTCCCTTTAGTTTAGGGTGATGAGAGATAACTCTATACAGAAATTACAGATGGAATATGGAAATGTGGGGTGAGAGAGAGATTCTGGTATCATGTCCCTTGTGCTTTAATTCCTGAAAATAATTGAGTAAAAGACTATGTGTGTTAAATTAAGATGTGGATTGTTGGACTTGCTCAAAGGAATGTAATTTAATTCCCAAGGTGGACTGTTTGCTTATACTATTTGATGATTCAACTGTGTGACAACCATGATGGTCAACAGCCAAATGCTGTGATTCAAATGCAGGGAGAAAAGAGCTGGGAACAAAGGGTTCTATGGTTCTATGCTTCTCCTTGTGAACATTTCCACCTCAAAGCCCAGGAGATGTGTGCCCTGAGGGAAGCAAAGGTGATGTCAGCCTCGGGGAGTCTCATTAGACCAGCTATGTTTGGTGACAATCAGACACACACCCTGAAATAGAAGCATACCTCATTGTTTTCCACACATTCTGCATGACACCAGCCTCATCATAAATTATGCCATAATCACCCCTGCACTGTGATTTGCGTGGGAGTTCAGAGCAAATTCAGCTGATATATGACTAACCTCACCAACTGGAGAAACATACTTTATTTCTTACAATGTAAATCCTTGGGGGTGGGGGGAATCGGTGTGTCGGTTTCCTAGTTGTTGACTTTCTTCCCCAACCACTCAACTACTGTTCCTGCACCTCTCGTTAGGGACAGTCATTCCTAGAAATTGCATAAGTTGTCATTTGCATTGCTTCTAACCATCAGAGCCTTCATATTATCTGCAAATGATTTCAATTGTTCTCCAGTCCAGATGTTATTCACTGAACCCTTCAACCTGTTACCAGTAGATTCAGCATGGAGTTGAACAATGCCAGAGTTAATCTAGTTCTGTGTTTTTGCCTTTCATTTGGTTAGTAGCCTAATCCTGAAGGCACTCACCTATGCCCCAAATTACATCTGTGCCTTAGAAAATAGTCTTAAAGTAATTCCTTGTGTTAAAGAAGGAGAAAAGGAAACCTCATTGTTTCTGCATAGTGGTCTGAAATATACACAGTAGATCTGAAATTTGGGGGTATTTGTTTTATTCAGTTCACTGGAAGTGTCTATAGAGACTTTCAGTAAAACTCGCCTGACTTCAACTGCTGCCTCTCAGCCTCTCTAGTGTGAAACCTATTGAAACAAACCAACAGAACATCCTCCACCATACCCCACAAACTCATGCACACATCCAACCAAAGTGCACCATCTCGGTTTCTTCTGAACAGTGTTAAACTGATGCACAGTGGTCAGTAAAGGCATCATAACAAACCAGGCCGCAAACCAAAAGGACTACCTGATAATGTAGTAGAAGAAAGCTAAGGACAAACAGCTGACAGCCTCGGTTCTCCAGAGTAGTTCTGGTGGTGAATGGGAGGAGAAACCAAATGTGGGGCTCACACACTGACTCTATTCTTAAGTCCGGTGATAGTGTCGGCCTCTGAATCTCAGGAATTTGCCACACCCTGGATGATAAACAGTACATCCTCCTCATCAGGGTACTCCCTCTTGTCTAAGAAGTGATGCATCCTTTGTAACTGTCTTTGCTAGATAAGTCAAAATGTTGAGGTTTTTTATTGACAACTTTTTTTTAAAAGATTTATTTATTTATGAATACAAGAACTGGAGTATAGGCCAGAGGTGCAGGAGGTAAGAGGATTCACCAGAGACAGCGGGTAGCAGAACAGACGGAAAACCAAAGTACACTGCTAAGGGGAGACAGGAGAGATCTACTGTGCCATGTGGGTCAGCTGCCTGGCCGGGGATCGAACTCGTGCTGCAGTAGCTGCACATAGCTTCATAGTGCTGATGCTTAACCCCTTGCACCACCAGGGAGGCCTCTATTGACAACTTTTTTGTCAAAATGTTGATATCTTGCTGTAGTGTTTCTTTTCAATATTTCTAATTTGTGTTTTTGGACTTAGAAGTATGTTATTTGAAAAAAATTGCATAAGCAGCCAGTGAAATTAGTTAACAAAGATTGCCTCCAGGTGTCTAATGATGAATAAATCAAACACTGGATGACTGGGAAACCATGGCAAGCCACCAAGCCACTGACTCTAGAGTTTCCCTTGAATATAAACCAACTTTGAAAAAAATGTAAACTTACTTTGTCTGACTTTTAATAGTGTGCAATTTTATGTATAGATTATTGATTCATTTGGTATAGTCAAACCTATTTATGCTGAATTTTAAAGCTTTTCGTGTGTTTGTTTTCAACCTAGAGGTTGTTTGTGAATTTTCTTTGTTTTATTTATTTTTTTAAAGATTTATTTATTTATGCTTACAAGAGCTGGGGTACAGGCCAGAGATGTGGGGGGGGAGGGGTAAGAGGATTCACCAGAGACAGGGTGGGGAGCAAAACAGGCAGATTGACCAAAATACATTACTGAGGGGAGCAGTGGGTGAGCTGAGCCAGGAGAGGTCTGTCTTGCCATGTGGATTTCTCCCTGGCTGGCTGGGGATCGAACTCATGCTGCAGAGGCTGCAGATTGCTTCATAGTGCAGTGCTTAACCCCTTCCGCCACCAGGGAGGCCCTTCTTTGTTTTATTTTAAATCACTATGTGAAATGCTGATCTATTTCTTGGTCCTCGATAAAGGCCATTTACCTTTTACTTCATTTTAATATCTTGAAATTTGGAAAATAATTCATTAGAAATTATTTCTAATCTCTTAATTGTTAAAAGACTGACAGTAAATAGTTTACCATGTATAAATATATAGAGGATGAAAGTGCATATTTGCATTCTATTTTATATCCCTTATATAGGAAGTATCATATAAAATATGAATATTGATTAAATGGAGTTAACATTGACAGCAAACATCCCATACAGTATTCTCTTTGGGCCAAGCAAAGTGGATTTTCCTTCCATAAGATCTGCTTTGTGCTTTTAGAGCAGTGGAAAGTTTATGGCCCTGGTTTCCCAATTCCAAGGAAGTTTCCAGAATTTTTTTTTTGAAGATTTATTTATTTATTCAAGCACTGGGTACAGTCAGAAGCGCGGGAGGGTGAGAGAATTCACCAGAGCCAGAGTGGGGAGCAGAACAGGCAGACTGACGAAGTACACTGCTGAGGGAAGCAGCGGGCATGGCAGGAGAGGTCTGTGCGCCTTGTGGGACCCTCCCTGGTGGCGAGAGATTGAACCAGCACTTGCAGAGGCTCCCAGGCAGCTTCGCGGCCCAGCGCTCAACCACTGCGCCACCGGGGAGGCCCTTTCCAGAATTTTTCTATACTCTTAAAGTTCATTAGACTTAGAAGGAACGGAAACTTTCATTATATTTTCATGCCCAGATTGTGTTTTTTTTTCACATGCTAATAACTATATTTAGAGTATTTTTGGAAAATGCTGCATTATTGTGATAGTTACTAGACCTGCTCAATTATCCCTCCAGAAGCAGGAGAACTGATTTTCAGGTCTCTATGGAATTGGTGAATCAATGTGGCACATTCATTGGCTCAGCAGAATGAAATGAACGATGGATGATCAGGGATTCAGATACCAACTGCATTTAGCACTCATTTCCTAACTTAGCCTACAAATATTTGCCCATTTCAATGATGCTCAAGAATTTAGTTTGGTTCATTAATAAATTCCAATGTACACCCCATTGTGACCACAAACCAAAGAAACATATACAGCTCAAACCAAAGAAATATATATTAATCTCATCATAAAAAGCTGAAATACAGTAGACTAACTGTGGAGGACCTACTCAATGCTGTAGGTCTCTCCCAAAATATAACTGTCCCTACTTGATCTGTCGAATGCAAAATAAATTAGGCACGATGTCTAGCAGCATTCCAGTCACTTCAAACAGCTGGCACTCTCTATTGTGACTCAGTGACTATACAGTGACTTCATGCATGATCTTTAAGAATAAGAATTAAATAATTGTTGCCATTTAGGTGTTTATTAAACTTTCCCCTCCTTCGATAGAACTTAGGAGTAGTGGAAAAAGGTCTATCCAATCACAATAGCAACCAAACATTTTTTACTTCAAAATATTTTGATTTTTGTCTAACCTTTCATTCCCAATTATTTTCCTTGTTACTGGTGTTATTTATCTAGAAATATTTCAAACATGAGAAATAAGTAGATAGGGTTTTTTCAGTAGATATGTATATTTAAAGTAATACATTTGCAGCTCAGATATATTCTAAATTGTACACTTCAGGTTTAACCAACTTCATTAAGACACTTCTGAGAACAGCCATAAGCACAAATTTTAACTACTCGACTATTTCTTTGCCCATTTATCATTCTTTCAGATATGATTCAAGGTGGAATTTATCCTCTTCCCATTTTGTCCACTGCTCCTTAGACAAGATCTGCTATTTAATGGTCAGGTCCAGTGCTCTCATGATGTGAATCACCTGGCATTAGAAAAGTTCTCAGGAAGTCTTTTTACAGCTACTTTACATCATTATCCTCATATATTGTTATCATCTTGCATTAACCCAGTTTATTGAATCCTGCAACACTGTAGTACCATTTTTGAATACCCTCCAGTCAAAGGCGTGGTGCTACAATAGCCAGCTTGCTCGCCATTTTGACCTGAGACCAAAATGGATATGCTTTAGTGAAATAACTTATTTGTATAATATTCTTATATGTTATCTCAGGTCTTTATTTGGAGCACAGGGACTTGGAAGCCATGAGTGGGCTTCAGAGAGTCTGTATTTCCCTTATAAGTATATGCAGAATTAGGTGTGTGTGTGTTGTATAACTTACAAGAAGGCCAAGTTTCATCAGATTCTCAAAGTTCATGACTATAAAAATGAAAACCACTGATTTATTTAAACCACCTGAAATAGCATGTTTATAATGAGAATGTCTTCATTACTTTTGGAGACTGTTTCCCTCTGGACTCCTCCCACCTCTTAACCACCCCCCCCCCCTTCAAGGTCCCAACAATAAACTTCTCTTCAGAGTTCAAACTTTGATGTGAGTGTGTGTGTGTGTGTGTGTGTGTGTGTGTTAGGGCAGAGGGGAGGAGAGTGTTGAATCTACAGTTTGAGCTTAAAAATAAATCTGTGGAGATGAAAACTGGAGATTTAACAATAGCAACAAACACTACAACTGCAATTCTATTGAGAGTGGGAGAAGTTAAAGCAAATATAATTTATTTCATTATAATAATATATTCATTCTAAAACCTATACTGACTCTTTTCCCATAGGTTGTAGAGTACCCTAATATTAGTTTAAGTTACCTATTTTTTAATCCTAAGAACATGAGAGATAGTAATCTTAAATTATGGCAGCCCAGAAATACTTGGTATGGGGAAAATGTATGACTAAATAGTGGTTGTAAACATTTTGGGCCTTCCCAGATGGTTCATATAAATATGACACTGCCCAAAGGCCTCTGGGAGCCTCTGTATGTTTCTGTCTCTAATGAGGTTCTGTTCAGTCTGCAGAGGATGATAAAGCATTGCTGAATGGTTTTGCTGAAGAAGCACTGTGAATAAGATGCCTGATAACAACAGATCAAAGCCCTCCTGAGGCATTTATATGCATTTATTATGAGGCACTCAAATGTGACAGTACACAAGTCCCCAGCAAAATAGCAGTTATTTCATGAAAATTATGGGGGCGACGGTGAGGTTCTCTCAAGTATGTCAACAAAATGCAATTAAGCAGATTATATTGCTAGAAACAGTCTGCTTTGGGCTGATTTTGCATAATATATTCATTTAACTCATGCCTACATAGCTAAATGTTTAAAGGGTACAATAGTTCAAGTCAGTTTCCCAAACGGAGGTTGGGTTTTAGAACTCCTCAAAATCAAGGTTTCTGATTCTGGGTGAATTTGGGGACTGCAGGGAATGGCCCAGTTTTTACTGCTCCTGAATGTCCATGTGGGCCCCTGCTGGGCCTCAAGAGCCCTGAGCTGATTGGCTCTCTTCACCACTCCCCACCTTTCCCTCTTAGAACAAATGATTCATTTCATGAAACAAAAATTTCGATGATTGAAATTTCACTCATCTCCTCCAACTGCTTAAAATGAGAGAAAATAAAGAAAACTGACTTTGATCCTTAAAAAAAAAAAAAAAAGACATTCCTTTAAAAGAAAATTTAGGCTCTCCGCTCTCTGAAATTCAGCCTTTTTCATTTGGTAAAAACATGTGCAGCTGTTGGCTCAAGAAAGAGTTAAGAATATAACCATTTTCTTAATGATCTAACCTTTAAAGTAATATTACCAATGACTTTTAAAAAAATATTTCTGTGCAACCTTCTACTACACGGTGGGTCTTTCTAATTTTTCCTGCTTTGTTTTAATTACTTATGAATTTTAATTGATGAACTTATTCTTATGTCTGAGTTTTATCTTCCTATAAGGTCATCCTTTGTCCTGTATGCCTGAGAACTGATATATGTGTTAAGTTCCTTTTTTATATCACTGCTATTTTCTATTTGTGGTTCATATATTCAAATCTATATCTAATATTTATAGATACTCAAATAGATAATTTTACCAATGCAAAAGTGGTAAGATGTATTGAAAATAGTAGTTATGTCTGAATTTGAGGTATTTATTCTTAATTAAACCTGGTAGTTCTAACACTGATTGATAATGGAAAAAAAAAAGGTGTTAGTGATTCTTTTATAACTACTTTTCTACAATAGAAATCATCTTCAATAGTTTTCATTCTTTTGCATTTAATTATTACTAATAGAGGATAAATGGAAAAATTGAAAATTAAATAAATTTGAAATGTTTTTGAATAGATTTGTTTTTATAATTACATATTATGCTTTATTTGCAGGACCGAGTAAATGCATTGGAAACGGTAAGTTGGGGCATTTTCTTTCTCTTATCAGAATTACTGCTGTGTCCTGATGTGGATTTCAGATCACTCTTCAAGGAAGCATTTCCAGAAAGCATTTCTAAAACTACATCTAGATTCAAAGGGGAAAATAAGCTAACTATACCTAAAAGGTAGGTGTATACACAGACTTTAATATTTAAGGAACATAGAAAAAGCAATAATGTACATACTTAAGTGTTCACTCACTGCTGTCTACAGATTGCTGTCTTTAGTTAGGGTGGGGGCAGAAGAAATACCAACAGATCCATGAGGCTCCCCAATAAATGGGGCTGAGCGCGACACTTGACATACAAAGAAGGGCAGAAAACAGAGGCCCGGGTCTAGCTACAGATATAGGAACTAATGGAACTGTAGCCCCTCTGGAGCCCAGGAGTCCTGACAAGCCAGTGTCCTGGGGGAGCCCAGGCCAGGCTGGTCAGCAAGAACAGCACAGTGCAGACTCTGGCAAGTGGGGTCCGTGCCACTGTGCAAGTCCTCTCCTGAGGCCCTGAAGCTAGAGGAACAAAGTCACAGGAGTAGGTCATCCCCAGGATTCACCAGGAAGGAATGCTAGTCATTCTCCATTCTCCCTGGGCAGGTTTTCTGAAAGATGACAAGAACCTGGAACCCAGGGCTCCCTGGCTCCCTGGGGAGGTTGTTAGAACTCACCTACAGGGGCCAGGTGTCTCTGCCTGGGGCCTCTAGGAGTCCCCAGCTGGAGAAAGGGGCCAAAAGGGGTCTTGAGGCACTGAATCACTTCTTGCCAGAGCAGGGACCGATGTGACCATAGCAGACAAGTCAAGAGCCTTAATTTGGAATCTGTCCCAAGTCGGGAGGGAGGCGAGGCCTGAGGGACAGAGACTGCTTGTAGACACTTGGGGGAGGGGTGCTGAGGCTCAGTCCTGTCACAGAAAGGACTGGTTGATAAGAAACTGAGATTAAAATGCTATTTATGCTTTGAAGTTCAGATATTCAACATTAATAGTTTTAACTTGTTTTTGCCAATAACCAAATAATAGTAAGAGCTGATCAGCTTTTTTTCTCAAAAATCTTATTTACATGAATCTAGAATTAGGAAATGAATGTTTTAAAGTGCAGGAACATAAAGACTATCCTTTCAGTAGTTTTTGGAAAATGATTTTTAGATGGAAATAAACGGGGAGGCAATTTATTGTTTAGCAGTAAGGTAGTGGTTAGGTGAAGTGTGTCATTGCCACCCAACATGTAACAGTGGTTACGAAAAGGATACATTAAATGGAAGTAAATTCAAGGAGTAAAATTATGTGTATTTTCAATGATAATCTTTAATTCTCGGCATGTGAAAAAAGAATAGAAGAATAAGCAAAACTTGTAATAGTGACAAGTTAGACAAGAATTACGGGATGTGATTATTTCATTCCATTCTGTTTTTCAAGTTTTATAAAACATCGTTCTATTACTCTTATAATGAATGTTTTAATAATAAAAACCTTGTAAATTGAAAGAGGGGTAGAATAAGTTATGGTATTACCTTGTGATGAAATATTATTCAGCCTTAAAAAGTCATATTTTCAAAAAGCAAATATTGCCATGCCCTTCTATGAGGGCGAGGAGATATAAAATTATATGGGGAATAGGATACAAATATAAGTCTACATATTTTGTTTTTTAAAAAGGACTTTAGGAAAACACAAAATATTAAGAGTGGCTTGGAACAATTAGTCGTTTTTATTTTCTCATATTTTTAATAAACAGTAAAAAAGTAAGGAAACTTTAAACAAGATTCATAAAAATATTTTATGTGAGGAATGCACTGATGCTAATAGAGCATATTTTAGTCTTGTGTGAAGAAGTGGTTTTGATTGATAGTGTTCATATCCTAGTAGGTAAATAATCTATTCCTGAGATTTAACTGGATCATTTGGAAAGTACACTGCCCTCAGTTTCAGTGTGATGACATTGTAGATGAATAAAATGTTTAGTGTTCCTCCACATATATTTTACCTACCCGTAGGAAATCTCTGGCCAACAGAATTTGGCTTGTGAGTTAATGTTCTTTTTAAAGGTATGAATAAAAACAGAATTTTTGATTTTGAGGACTCGGACTCAGTGTACAAAATGCCACTTATACAGCATTTAGCATATCACTTGTTTCTTGATTCCTTCATCTGTAGAAATGATTATAAGTAAACTTAGTTTATCAAAAGTTGTGAGAATTAAGAAACATTTATGTGAAAATATTAGTACCAAACAAATGTTATATATTATCACTATCATTATGTAATTGCTTATTATTTCTTATTTAATAATTTTAATTTATACCAGTAAGCCTCTCAAAAACTGAAATTTATATAAACAGTAAAGCCTATAACTTTTGTTAGTATTTGTTAGGGCATTTTTTTTTTTTAATTTATATAATCTCTTTACTACCAAAGTACTATGAAGTAGAATCTTAAATGCCTTATTCTTGAGGTTCCTCTAGGAATAAAGGTAAAAATAAAAAGTCATCATGAGAAAAATAAAGTTGATTAAATGGACTAGGATTTTTACAGAGGCAGTTTTCTCAAGATGGTTTTAATTTGAAATAATTATAATAAGTAAAACCATAAAAATGGAAATGCTTAGTAATAATGTTAATGCTCAAATATTATGAAGTCCTTTGACTTCATATGGCATTATAAGGAGCAGATTAAATACACTTGGTAGACTATTCAACTAGTAAAGTATTTTATAGTTCATAAAATCAAGTGTGCTGAAAGTAATCTCAAGATCATTTATTATTCTCTCACAACTCACCACTTAAACCATAGAAAAGTGTTGGTGGTCTGCATTTGGTTTTGCATTGAATACAGGGTGCATATTGTGGTAATGCGAATCTGCAAATACTTGAAATTTAATTATTCCTCTAGGAGCCTTTACCGTAGATTGATTTTAAAGGTTTAATAGTTATAATACCTGAAAATAAGATGGTTATTTCATCCTAATGAGAAACTTGATTGACTAGTCACCAGTTGTCTATATCCTTAGGTCACAATCATATGTTCAATTTTTCTTCTTTCCCTCAACTTTTCCTTATCTTCCTTTAGATCAGGTAGGGCTTTGGGGTTAGAAATTATATTTTATTTGCAACTGTATCCCCAGGGCCTATCAAAATTCTTGATTTCTAGTGGACAATAAATAAACATTTAGAGAATGAAAGTATGAATGTAGAACTGAAGATATATGACCTTCACAGTAAGACTGTTCTTAAGAATATTGGTATACACAGTAGCAGTCAAGTAGTTGAAGGAAAAGGTTCCCTAGAAGTACATCAATTTATCCTTTGTTTCTCAGCCTGTTTAATTAGTATTATACCTTATTTGGTATTTCACTGACACTCTAATGATCTTCATTAAAGTTTAGTGAAAGTTTTCCTAGAAAGGAACCGTGTTTAGCCAAAACATATAGCAGCGTGATTCCTCACATAAAGCCAAGTGAGTCCCTGATAAAAATCTTGACTGAGAGCCCCAGTTCTTGGGCCATGGCTGGGACTCACCAGTGGATATTTATTGAGTATAATAGAAGCCTGTGTTGACACTGAAGGGGACACAAAAATAAATAAATTGTGATTATTTCCTTCAAGGAATTTTAAAAGGAGAATTTACATATAAATAATGATTTAAGATAAAAGACACTTTACAGCACATGAATGAAACCTTATTCATTTTATAGAAGCTATTATGAAGAAAAAATAATTGTAAAATAAATTGACATCATTGTGATTTAGGTTGACCAGGGGAAGTGTTGGGATTTGTAGTCTGAGGGCATGATGGTATGGTGGAGGTGAGCAGACCTGGAGAAAGAGCAGAGAAGACATTTCATATTGGGGTTGTAGTTAAAGTTCAAATGAAGTCTGGCAAAGGTTTGTTAAATGGATATATTTTTGTAAAGGTTAAATCATGAAATCATGGCCCTCATACAAATATAAAGTGAACTCATGAGAAATGAATTTATCAAACTCACTAATTAATAAAATGTTAATAAGATGAGCAAGATGTTACCACTGACTTAAAGATCATTCCAAGAACCACATATATATGGATGCTGAAGAGTACTGAAATTGATTTAAAATAGATGAAAAACTAACTCCTTCCATAGTGAAATAAGAAAATCAATTGGAATTGAATCTGCTTGTCCATGAGCTAAAATCATTCACATTGCTGTCAGTTATCTACAACTCACAGAGTGATTAACAGCTCCTGGGCAATGACAGGGGCAGAGATCCCATAGAGTCAGAGCTAGTTCTCATTGAAGACACTCAGTGAATTTTGGTTCCATTTCAAAGTCTTTCACACTTTTTTATTCTTTTAGGTTCAGAGACAATGACACTTTGAGGGAGCAATAGGAGGTGCTTTATTTTTGAGTTTTAAAATACAAACTATGGGGTTAAACTTGGTCTTTTATATCAGGGCTACACTGGATTTCTTCCTGAGTGCCAGTTGAAGTTGGTCCTTCCTGGTTCCTAAAACATTCTGTTGGGCAGGATTCTGGCTGCTCTTTTGGGAAGAGGGCTGAGATCACCACACATTCTCCCATGTGCATTGCAAGTTTGGGGGGCAAAAGGTGGGACCAAAGCAATTTAGCTGGTAGGGAGTCATTAATAAATTTAATCAGTTATTGGGCACAATGAATGTACTATACAGGAATATAAATATAATAGTTATGGCGGGATAGACTGAAAAGATAAAAGCTTACAAGTAGGAACAAGGAAAGGCACTCCAGCTTTAGGAATATGCTTGGAAAATTAGGGGACAGGGTACAAAAAGCAGGGCTAAGGTGAATGCCATGTTTAGAGAAGAGAACTACTGAATTTAATAAGTGGGATGTCAAGAGAAAAGAGACACAGAAAATACAATAAGTCATTTTAGAGATTTGAAGGGAATGTAAGGCCATTCAACTTGGAGATATGAATTCATTTTACATATCATCTCTCAAATGTGTCTATTTTCATTTCCATTATTACC